TCTAGGTCAAATAACCAAGGTCGTCCCAAGATGATGTGCCCGACATCTATTGAAATGACATCACACCATATATGGTCATTATACTCTAGGAACTGGATAGGGACTAAACAACGTTCCTTAACAGCTATAGAAGAGGTATCAACCCAAGAGACGCTGTATGGTTGGGGGTGAGGAACTGGCTTCAACCCTAGACGGGATACAGTAGCTATCGAAACCGCATTAATGCAACTGTCACTATCCATGATAACTTTACAGCCCTTGTTATTAATTTTGATATAGGTGTGGAAGATGGCATGACGGCGCCAATCATCGGCATCCCGAGGTAGGGTAAGGGTGCAACGGACGACACCGACTCTAGGCGTATGTGGGATAAGGGGATTAGCCTAAATACAACCTAAGAAGGTATCTTCACTATCCTCCAAGTCATCAAACTCTTCTAACTTAGGCTCATAAACCTGGTCCTCTAGTGGCTCGTCAACTATACCTTCACGCTCGTCCAGAACTAGGGCTCGGCTAGGACACTTAGAAGCAATGTGACCAAAACCCTTACAGTTGAAGCATTGCAAACGGGAGGACGTCCTTGAAACCTCAGAACCTCTACCTTTGCTATCCGATGTAGGGGTAGTATTAGAAGGAGGAGGTCTTAGAATAGACTTAGGGGATGGAGTGGATGCAGAAGAGGTTGCAGTGTGAGAGTTACTATGATTTCTATACGGTGTCCTAGTCACTAGTTTATAATCCCGAATAGTGACGCCTCTAAGGACAAGCTCACGCCTAAGTTCGTCTCTTAGACCTTGCCTAAACCTACTCAAAGTCATGACCTCTCCTCAACGACCTGACATTTCATTCGAAACTCATCAAACTGAGCATCATATTCGATCACAGGCCGACTACCTTGTGTAAGTGCGTTCCATTGATCCAGCATGTTACCCCTATAAGATTGAGGTAAATATTTTTTTGGAAGACGACGCTTCATTTCATCCTAGCTTCCAACAGGGGGAGCATGACGCCTCTCTAGGAGGTCCTCGACACTTTCCCAAAAGAGTTGAGCAGTGCCAGTTAATTTCAAACTGGCAAATTGTACCCTCCGATCTTCAGGGACCCCATACCAGGCAAAAAAGTGATCCATATCTCTAACCCATTGATTAAATACACTAGGATCTAGACAACCGTCAAATGTAGGAGCATCTAATTTAATGTTTCGAAAGAGGCTCTCCTCGTGGCGAGGAGGAGATAGTGTACCATAACAATAATATTCCCGCTCTCGCCCATGAGCCTGATTTCCTTTCCTATGGTCATGTCGGGCGTGGTGTCGAGCACCTTGTGGACGATGATGAGGTCTATTAATGGAAGCCTCAGAGTTTTCAGTTTCGGTCGAATATGGGGTTGGGTCAAGAGTGTTCAACCTAACGATTAGGGTTCTATTCTCTTCACGAGTAGCGGCTACTTCAGTTTGGACAGCCGTTAGTTGATTTTGTAACTACGCCAACTATCGGGTGAGGGCCTCAATTTGGGAGGGGTCCATGGCAAGGGTACTAGAGCTAGAGGTAGTAACGCGACCACTACGCAATTGCATACACGGTAACACAAGTTAGGTGAAGTTCCTACTGAGATCAATAACCAACGAGTGCCAACAAGGGAAATAGTGATTGAAATTTTTCTATTGTTACTATTATTATTTTATTTTATTTGTTAATAAAAATTGGGATTACGTATGGTCCGATCGCAAGTTAATAATACTAATGCAAATAAAATAAAAAGCAAAGGTACAAATGATAGGCCTAGTCACGTGTGATAAACGAGAAAGCAATGGGAGTTAGTTCATGAATTTCAATCAAATAGATTTAAGGCAAAAATTATCAAATGGCTAGCACACAAAGAATTAACTTATGCAATTCTAAAACAAAGAAATAGTGTTAACTAAAATAGATAGGAGCAGGAACTCCCTGAGTTCAGTTGGCTTGAGTCTTCCCAGCATCGAATGTCTCCAATTTTAGAACTACTAAGCTTTGAAATGCCAAGACAGAAAATTTCGTGTTTGTCGAGGTGCGGTACTGATCAGTCAACTAAAATAAACCTGTAAAATAATGTCAGGAAATTCTCAAAAATTCTCGATATTTTTATTTTTCTTTTTTTTTTGACTTTTTTTTTCTTTTTTTTTTTTACTCTTTTTTTTTTTTCTAATAATACAAATCAAATAAACCTTATGTAAATGAAACAATAGGGACTATTTGAGGTCCAAAATAAAATAAAAGTACTAAAACACAAACAAAACTTTAGAAATAACCACTAGTTTCCCAGACTTCGAACCACTGCGAACCAGTGCAAACACCAACAATCGTCGTCACGGATGGATTTTTCGATCTTCTGCGCCAAGGTTTCAGGTACAGAGACAGCGGGGGCGCGGCCGGTGGAGTAAAGTGGCGGCGGCTGCGTGGGCGACGACGAGGGTGGTTGTTTTAGCTTCTGCTGGTTGTGGAGGTGGTGCGTGATTTGGCTTGCCTATATTTTAGCAGATCTTCACAATCATAGTTCTCTTAAGAACCTGGTCGTTATCCAAGAGTTTGAGCTGGAAGCTTTGAAATTTCTCTGGGCCCGTTTGCAGTATTGTCTTAGGACAGCTTTACTTTGTAAATTAGGGTTTTTTGGGTACTCTGATGGGTTGTGAAGGCTAATTCCAGTCAAGGATTCTTTTGTTTTATCAAAATATGGCTGCAACTGAGCACTACTTCGTGGAGTGGAAAGAGCAATATATGTCAAAAGAGAGGGGCAATCGTGTGGTACACTATTTCTTGAAGGATAATTCAGGGGAATCCATACTCGCTGTTGTGGGTACTGAGATGTTGGAACCAGGTTTAGCTCTGATACCACTTTGATGCAGGGTGAATAAATCAATAATAAGAATAACAAGAAGAGATGAGGGGAGGGGAGGGAGAAACACAGAGACAGGGGGGAAGAAGAAAAGGGGAAAGAACGGGGCTGTAGCCAATTTTTTTATTCAATCAATTCATTAACTCCAATTACAATGTAAAAATAGGTTTAAATACTGAAAACATAAAAAAAAACTTGAAAAATAGGGCCAAGCCCATTACACAAGTCCATAAAAATAAAATAACCCAAGTCCAACTAAAATAATTAAATGTCGTTCAACGAATATAAAAAAAACTAGGATGTCCTCATCATATGGTATCTCTCCTAACCAACTGTGTCCCGTATCTCAAATTTCACGGTTGCATCATTGTTTACAGCATCTGTTTGCGAGAAAAAGGCAGTGCCAGTTGTTGATTCCTATGACATTGTACAAGAAGGGTCATGTATTGAAATCCAAAAGAAGAATCTTGTGGGATGTGAGAGTCGATACACGAAATAAGTACCCGACCAACCTGAAATTCAACTAATTACCCTTTTACAAAGTGCAACACTACACTTGATTTTCTTGCTCCAACACTACACTTGATTTACAAGAAACCCACAATTAATTTGACTATTAATAAAATATAGTGATTAAAAATGTTGAATTCTATCTTTAGTGACCGACGACATACATCCTAAATGCAGAAGACAACACAATTTCTTATCAATGATCAGAAATTATACATAATTAAATCATATCCAGTTGTTATTTGAAGATTTCAAACAAATCGAGATGAGAAATGTATCCACAATCTTAATTGAAAGTAAAATCAAGTGCAAAACAGATAATAAAATATTGATGTTCACAAACCCAAATTTCAAACTAATTTCATCATTGGAAAATCTTTGGGAGAAAATGGTGAATTACGAAAATATGGGCATCTGTTTTTAACCTTCAAACAAAAGCCAACAGCCCAACTTTCTCAAACCACGCAAAACAAATACCTCGTCGACCAAGGATATCTCACCTTCTGTACAGAATCCAATAGAGGCAAAGGCAACAAGAAGCCCATCGGCCTCCGCACTTCGATCGCCGAATAAGTCTTGTGTATGTAACATATGTTGCACAAATTGAAAGGAACCATATTCATAAAATCCTTTCATAAAAATCATAAATTTCATGTTGAAATCAAAGAGACAATGAAAAGTGCGGAAACATACCTTGATCCATGAATTTGACTGCTTTAATTGGGTTTTGATCTTCCAATTGATGCGTGATTTTCCTTCCTTTGTTTTTTTGAAAAGTCTCTGTTGATGGGGATGCAGAGATACCAAAAATATCCATTTACAACTAATGGGCTTCACACCTTCAGGTAACGAGACAAGATCCCAAACTTTATTGTCTTGCATAGACTTATACTCCTTATTTATGGCATCAATCCACTTTTGAGAGTTAGAACCCTGCATGGCCTGATGGAAATTGATTGGATCATCTCCCACCATTCCATTATTTTCCTCATGTTCTTGGAGAAATACTATGAAATCATCTGAAATAGTACTTTTCCTCTCTCTCGTGGATCTCCTTAATGGTATTGGCTCTTGAGGTTGTTGAGTTTGTATTTCTAGAATAATTACCTCATTTTGGATGGGAGGTATTTCAACATTATCTTGTTGAGGTTCTGGATATGCTTCTTGATTAACAACAGGTATAGAAACCCGTACATTGTCAAAAGCAATAGTAGGAATCGAAATCGATCCTTCCTCAACTTCTTCCTCAAAGACAATGTCTCTAACCTTATTTCTCCCCCCAAACTCAACATCCTCAAAAAATGTTGCGGTTCTCGTTTCAAAAATTGACTTAAGTGTGGGATTATCAAATTTATAGCCCCTGGATCGCTCAGAATAACCAATAAAATATCTGCTAACTGTTTTGGAATCCAATTTCTTTTCATGTGGCCTATAAAGCCTAGCCTCAACTGGACATCCCCAAATGTGAAAATAGTTTAGACTAGGCTTTCTGTCTTTCCAAAGTTCATAAGGTGTTTTAACAGCAGCCTTAGTTGGTACTCTGTTCAAAATATAAGCTGCAATCTTTAATGCTTCTCCCCAGAGTGATTTTGGTAAGGTGGAATGACTAATCATACTCCTTACCATGTCCTTAAGAGTTCTGTTTCGTCTTTAGCTACACCATTCATGCTAGGCGATCCTGGCATGGTGTATTGTGGGACGATTCCACATTCCTCTAGGTATTTAGCAAATGGTCCTGGACATTGTTCACCTGAACCATCATATCTGTCGTAGTACTCACCACCACGGTCAAACCTAACGCTTTTTATCCTTTTGTTGAGTTGATTCTCAACCTCAGCTTTAAAAGCTTTGAACACGTCCAGTGACTCAGACTTTTCATGTATGAGATACAGGTACCCATAACGTGAGTAATCGTCTATGAATGATATAAAATATTGTTGGCTATTCCAAGAAGCTGTAGGGGATGGTCCACAAATATTTGTGTGTATCAATTCTAAGACGTCTGAAGTTCTTTTTGAACCTAATCTCCTTGTTTTGGTCTGTTTTCCCTTGATACACTCGATACAGACATCAAAATCCGTGAAGTCAAGGGAATCCAAAATACCATCTGACACAATTCGTTCAACTCTAGCTTTTAAGATTTGACCTAAGCGCTTGTGCCATAATGTTGCAGAATTTTCTTTATTTAATTTGCGTTTAGTACCACGTGAATCCACATGCAAGGTCTCATTATATGATGCAATAATATCAAACAAATACAGGTTATCATATGCAGATAATGAACCAGTACCAATAATAGTGGAATTTAAAGAAAGACTAAACTGATTGTTTTCAAATGAACAACAATATCCTGATTTGTCCAAAGAAGAAACATAAATTAAATTTCGTCTAAAAGACGGTACAACGAAAGTGTCTTCCAAATCCAAATAATTACCAGTTCTTAATAATAACCTAAAAGTACCTATTACATCAACTTCCACCGATTTGCCATCACCAATATAGATGTATCTTTCACCATCACTTGGCTTTCTGTAGCTCAGGCAGCCCTGCATAGAAACACTAATGTGAGTAGTAGCACCAGAATCTATCCATCAAGTGTTTCTAGGTATTGAAGCTAAATTATTCTCAGAACACACCAAAGTAAGAATTGTACATTTTTTTGCACGCCATGCGTGATATTTGGCACAGTCCTTCTTCGTATGTCCAGACTGGTGGCAAAAGAAACAAGTATCTTTGTCTTCCTTTCGTTTCTTTTGTGCTGGACCCTTAGGAGCAGCTTCATATTCCTTCTTCTTTTTCTTGCCCTTATCCTTAAAAATGCTTACCAAGTGAGCACTTTCAGTTCTTTCTTGCTTCAACCTTTCGTCCTCTTGCACACAATATGAAATGAACTCATTTAGAGACCATTTCTCCTTCTGGCAGTTATAACTGACCTTAAATTGACTTAACTTTGCAGGAAGCGAGATCAATACCAAATGAACGAGCAAGTCATTAGATAGCTCGAGCTTTAGACCTTTAAGTTTTGAAGCAATATGAGACATCTCTATGATGTACTCCCTTATGTTTCCCTTGCCCTTGTACTTCATTGAAATCAAGCTTTGCAAAAGCGTGCTTATTTCAGCCTTATCGTTTTTTACAAAACGCTTCTCAATTTCGACAAGGAACTCCTTGGCATTAGTTATCCCTTCGGATACTGCACCTCTAAAGGCTTCCGGAATGCCGTGCTTAATGATCATTAGACTCATGCGATTTGAGCGATCCCGCCTCTCAAAGTTCCTTCTTTCATCAGGAGAACTTTCTTCCGTAAGAGGAGTGGGTTCCTCAACTCGAAGTGCAAGGTCAAGATCCATGCAGCCAAGAACAATCAATATGTTCTCTTTCCAATTCTTGAAGTTTGTCCCATTAAGTATGGGAATTGAATTGACATTAGCAGATATTGTAGTAGCAGATGAACTAGCTGTAGAGAGAACAGAAAGAAACAATTAATTATGCTCATATCCATATTTAATGAACAATAAATTCAAATAATGGTAAGCCCCATCTCAAGATACCTAGTACAACATTAATATCAAGTCTTTGGACGGTAATACTAATTGCAAGTGGTACTCTCGGTGTAGTGATTGAACATTGACAATAACTCCTGTCAAATAATAAACCTATCTTGGGATTGATTTATTATTTACATGGAAACCTTATAATTGTCACACATCCACCACCACAAGTATGTATGTAATTCGGCCAAGTATTAACTTTCCTTTGGGCCGGCTAATACCCGCATGAAGTAACACACACACAACATCTGAATATCCAAATAAACCAATCTACACAAAAGAGGTCACTTTGGCGACATATTGTTTCAATTAGTTTATTCAAAATGCTAGATAACCTTAATTTATTATGAATAAATTACCAAAATATTTGAATTTTATTGTTCCACATAATTAAATCTTAATTATTCCTCTTAAGGGAGTCTTTAGTACCAAGATTTGAGAGAGTGAATCTTCGATGAATCTTGAAATGATTTATGTCCCACAATAAACAAAGGAAACTAGATGGTTTGGTCAAAATGAATTCGAGACGAGCCGTTTATCATTACGATAGGTGTCAAGTGGAAGTGCAGTGATGTATGCAGCTGATAGAAAGGTATCTATTAACCCTAGTCTAAAAAATCTAGACCCATCAATCAGCTAATTTTGCATTATTAGATGCCTTTAGAAAGTTTAGGGACCTAAGGGTTAATAATTCAAAACTTTAGGGATCAAAATTTGAAAATTTTTAAAACTTTAAGGGCCAATTTTAATTAATTATGAACTTTGGGGCTTTAATTGCATAATTCAAAAGTTTAATGACCCAGATTAAATAATTTTCCAAAATCTAGGGGCTGAATTATTAAACCCATAACCTTAAGGTCCAACTTGGATGGATAACAAAGTTTAGGGACTGAAATTTAAATTTTTAATTTAAAAACCCTAATTAGAAATTGCAAGCAAGGACCTGAGATTACAAAAATTACACCTCAGGCCCCCGCCCCCAAAAATCCACCCGGTTGTAGGCATCTCTCTCTCTCTCTCACCATTCACGATGGCCAGCGCCGTTGCAGCAGCGCCAGGCGCTGCTGTAACCGGCAGCAGTGCCCGGGCTGTTGTCTGCACGCTGCTGCGTTTTGCAGCAGCATGCCGCTGCTGTGAAATGGCACGTTGCTGCGAAACGCAGCAGCCAGCGCCAGCGACGACATAGCCGCCGGCCAGATCCAGTTGCAAAAATATTTATATTTTTTAAACAAAAACCGAAAAATGAAATTTCAAAACTTCAGATTCCAAAACCCTTTTACTGGATCTAGATCTATAATCATAAATAATATATTAAACAATTCTCAAATTCAACAATAATTAATCCAAATAGTTAAATTTGAAAATTTAAAAAAAAAAAAATTGCAGTAATATAAATTTCACATAAATATCATGGAAGATCCATAACAATAACCCAAAAAATACCAAATTATTTCAATTTCTCAAAGATTTCAACAATGGATGGCTCTGATACCACTTGTTGTACAAATTGAAAGGAACCATATTCATAAAATCCTTTCATAAAAATCATAAATTCCATGTTGAAATCAAAGAGACAATGAAAAGTGCGGAAACATACATTGATCCATGAATCTGACTGCTTTAATTGGGTTTTAATCTTCCAATTGATACGTGATTTTCCTTCCTTTGTTTTTTTTGAAAAGTCTCTGTTGATGGAGATGTAGAGATACCAAAAAAAAATCACATTCAAATTGGGAACCATAACCATTTATTAAAATAACTGCAATTGGCAGTTATTAACTTTAAGTTATTTCAAATCGACCATTCATCAATTCAAAATAACACCTTTTGGTCTCTACACTTTAATCCCATAAAATTTAATACTCATTAGTCCAAAATTAAATCCAATGGATCACTTTATCGACTAAATTTACTTTAAAATAGCACCACACATTCTAATAAATGTACATGTGTGGCCCCCCAAGTTGGAATTTTTTCCAACAACATACATACATGTGTGCGTAAGGAGAGGAGATTACCTTAGGGTTTAATTTGGCATGGAGAGCTGAAAACACGTATAAAGGGAGAGAGACACAGCAAGAGCCACTTTATGAGATATTCAATGAACTAGTTAATGAACAGTATAAACGAGATTACTATGGAAACGATATAATTGCATATATGGATTCACATTGAAGTGGCAAGTATTTTGTTTGGTATAATTTGTTATACCCATCTCTTATCTTTAACAAATTTCAGCTGGCAATTAACGCACTGGATGACGTTCGATCACTTGGTATGCCATTAGATCACTAATTTTTTTAAGTACCTTAAATAGTAATGTTATGTTTTTGTGAGTTATATTTTATTTGCTAGACAATAGTTGATCCCAAAAGATTGTAAGAACAGAGATTTAATGAAGCAATATGAAGTAACGAAGATCACAATAATGAAATAATGTTAAAAGTAAAGAAATAAACGAGAGTTAAGTGGAGGAAACGATATTTTATTATAACAATATGGAGAGAAAATGACAATACAACAATTTTTGCTTAAACAAAACTGAATGAAAATTTCACTATTTATAGGTACATATCATACTATAAAGATGGAAATAATATAAAAATAATGTGAAATTAAAAAAATAATATCTTTCTAATAAAATCACATGAAAATAAGTAAACAATATTTTTCAATAAAATCACGTGAAAATAAAAAATTAATATTTTCTAAAAATATCCTTTCAAATTTGGGACACAAAATCTAACAATTATTTCACTTTCTCCATGATGAATTTACTTGAATTCTTTTATCATGTTATAAATTTTGAACATGTTATCTTCTGACCATTTATATTAAAAATAATTGAGCATCATTACCTCTAATTATGCTTAAAACATAATTTCTTGTCGTGTAAGTTTAATAGAAATTGTATAAACCATCAATCTAATTTATTTATTTATTTATTATTATTATATTTTTTTTTTCAGAATTCTATTCTCAATTTATATATTCACTGCAGATTATAACTTCAACTTTTAGGATGATTCTAACTGGTAGATGGCCATTTACAAGTTATCTATAGTCTGAAATTGAAATCATTATGATTTGAGGCTGGTAAAATTGATTGTAGCGTTTTGCTTTTGTAAACTGCTTCAAGCTATAATCGATAATACAATTTGAGTATCTTTGTCCTTGAAAAATGTTTTAATGCATCAAACATCGTTTGGGGATTCTATTTTGATATGTTGTAACTATGAGGTTTATGTTGCTGGTAAAAATTTCATAAATTTTTAGGGACATTTGTTAGGTCAAAATAATTTTTACAACTCATTGTGTGACCGGGAAAAACAATATCAACTTGTAGAAATTTTCTCAAAATCTTTCTAAAGTCATTTTTTTCAAAATTTTAAAACATTTATGTTCTATTATATAATACATTAGACAACATCTATGTTCTATTATTATTTATTTCTTATGTCAAACTTTAAAACAATTCTTTAATTGGACGTTAAGAAACTTATTTTCAGTAAAGCGTCAAATTGTCAGAAACCAAAACGTTACAGGAGTCACAAAACCATTGTGTGTGTGATTTTTTAAGAATAATTTTTTGGAAATTTGAAGTTTGAGCTATAGACCACTATTAGATAGAGCAAGTCACAAAGTAGGTGTTTGAAAGACATTTTTATGAAAAAATGCATTTTTAAATAGTAAATTAATGGAAAATGTGTGGTTAAAAAATAAAGAAAAATTTTTAATTTACGTATAATATTATTTTAATAAAAATATGTGGTTAAAAAAATAGAGAGAAAAATACATTTTGAAAAAAAAAAAGTATCAAACGGGCCATAATTTAAACTTTCTGTCTCTTTTCTCTCATGTTTATTATTTACTACTGTCTTTTGTATTAAAACTAATGATGAAATTTGAGTAAACAACTAATTGATTTTTGAAATTCGAACTTAACAGTCTAATCACTAGACATTCGTGTCATGTAGACTACGGCTCTTTCAACTAACCAATCATGCATATTGCAAATCATAAAAATGCGCCCCCGTTTGACTCCAATACCTAAAAATGAAAATGGAGGAATAATATTTTTTAGAAAAATGAGTGATTGAAAAAGAAGGAAAAATTTTCGATTTACGTATAATATTATTTTATGAGAAATTGTGTGGTTAAAAATAGGAGAAAAAAAATGAAATGTAATGGGAATCAAACATGGGCTGCATTGAAAATGCTCTAAGAACTTGCTATTTAGATCCATAATTCATTTGATTGCAAACTGTTCTTTTTTCTTTTTCTTTTTCATTTTTTTAAGGCCAAGCTTATTTTAGTTTTGTATTCTTAGCTAATTTTAAAATTACTATTTTTAAATGTAAATTCCCATATTTAATTAATTATTTTATTGAATAAAAAAAAAGATTCATTAAGTACAGCTAAACAACCGTGATACATCACATGTATTCAAAAAATTTAATTTAATTCTTAAAATCCAACAAATATTTTTCCATCAACTAATTGGTACATCATATCGTTGTTGCTTAGCAGTTGAGGCCACCGAGACAAGGGTCTATGACCTCAAAATTGTGGCTTAGGCCTATGGCCTCAAAATTCTAATGTCCCCCAAACACTAGCGGACCTACATTTGCTCCCGGCAGGTCACATGACCCACCAATTAAAAATGATTTTTTTTAATAAAAATCGAAAATGGAATAATGAAAAAACCCTTCCAATTTCCAATTGAAAG